GAGAGGGCTGGCAGAGGGGGACCCATCCTCACAGTGAGGGGAGCACACCCTGGAGAGGAGCTCTCAGGTTTATCAGGGCTGATCCTGTCCTTTCCAAATCCCAGATCCCTCCTCCTGAGAACCTGGGCTTTGCCTCGGGTTTTGAACCTCCTCTGCTCACCTGCCTTTGCAAAGCAGCTCAGGGGCTCAGCTGCTGATTCCTCCCCTTTTTTACAGCTACTGCCAGAAGGTATAGGATAATACCCAACATCTTTTTTGTGTTTTCAAAGGCCTGGACAAATGTTACTCCATGCATATGATCTTTAGATACCAGTACTGTCCTGTACATTCCAAAGCTGCAAGGGGATGGAGAGGAAAAAACAGACCATTTTTATCACCAAAAGCTCCCCACATTCTTGAATAAAAATAATATTAATTTTCTACTTTATCTCCCCCCCTTTTTTTTTCCTTTTTTGCCAAATCCAGGCTTCTTCACTCTTTTTTTACACTTTAACTTGAAAGTATGAATTCAGATTGCCTCACACATTTATAAAACCTTCAGCTAGTATATGCAACTATTTCACTTTCCCCACTAAGAAATCTGTTGAAAAGCCTCTGTAGTACAAGTTATTTCTCTTTATCAGATGACATTTTGATGTGGGGCTATACAGCAGGCAGCATATAGGCCAGTAATAGTGTTAATAAATGCTAAATGTGGACTTCCACAGGAGTTTGATCCCTTTTATCAGGGAATATAAAGGAACTGAAATTGGTGGCACACAACCAGCAAGGAATTTCTCTCCTCTTCCTGCTTATGAGAATATAAAATGTGTTGCATCCTTCCCAAGAAATCTTACAAGAGAGGCACTCTGTGTAAGGAAGACGTCATTTTAGGGATGCAAAGACTTAAAACACATGAAACTCTCTGCTTTCCAGACCTCTTAGAAATTACCAGACTCTGCCAGTAATGCCAGAAATAACCTATGAAAATGAGGTGTAACTGACCTTGCTTTCACACCTGACATGTGAAAGTCTTACACAGAGAAACAATCTCCATTTCAATACCTAAACTGAGCTCCCTCCTTGAGTTTTCAAAGTGAAGCATCCCACACAATGTGGTGGCATGTTGCAAGTCTATGAAAAACTTCATTGAATTTCATATATTTTTAGGAAAAAAGCCACAGAAAACAGTGAAACTTATTGGTTTTAATCACACAGTGTTTTTTGCTGAAATATCCTAATGCTTCTGAGAGATGCCTGAATGAGACATGAATATAAAGAGACAAGATAAGAATCCCTCTTGACTTCCAACCATCTGTGATAGATTTCTGGAAGTTGGTGAGGTGATTATATCCCTGGATGCCTTAATCACAGTGGTATTCTATCACACACATTCCCGAGGCATCCATTTGGAAAGACTGATCTCATCTGTCCCTAATTGATCAATCTGTGCAGCCCCTCAGAAATACTCACACCGCGTCAGCTGGGTTTTCAGAACTTAAATGATTGGAGAATTTCCAAATCCATGTTGTAAACTGAATTTCCCCATTTGCTGGAGCATTCTGCAACATCACAGCTCTCGGGCTGAGGATGCATCCCTCCACTGCTGCAAGCTAATCAAACATAACATCAGGGCAAGAATTATTTATAAAAGTTCATTTATTATAGAAATTTATCTCGTGATGGCTTTGATGGATAGTATCAAAATGAATGTCTGCTTCTGAAAGTTTTTCACGTGTGCTTGTGAGGCTACATATGCTGTTTTCATGAAAAAATATCTTTTTTAGGTGAGGAAACTCCTCTGATTTTCCAAATCAGACACAGCCTTATGAGTCAGTTCAAATAGCAAGGAAAGGGAAACAGCCTTACTGTGCCCTTTCCTCTTCCTTCTCTCAGCCCTTCTTTCACCCTCCTTGCTCTTTCTCAGACACAGAGCAGTGACTGCACTGAGAAAGTGAAAAACACAGATAAGGAGCACAGCTGAGCTTGTGAAGGAAGTAAAATTAACATTGATTGAGGTAAATCAATCAATCAAAGGCAGAAATGAGATGAACTGTCTGCAAGGAAGCGACAGTGGAATGGGAAATGTGCTGAAGTAGGGAGGGGAGAGCACAGGAAGAGGGGAAATGAAGTTACAGAGCAGCAGCTTTCCTGGTCCCACAGTAGTTAATGGGAATTTTGATTTCGAGAGTCAGGATATTACCCATGTCATTTAAATACCAACTAGCAGATGTTTAATCTGCAGATGGGAAGAAAATTAGATGAAAGATGAGAAAATAATGTGCCTGTAGCTGTGTAACAGTGCAAAGCTGTTCTTCACTCGTAGGCGTTCAGAAACCAGCGCTGATATTTTGAATTTATTGTTTTGGTTGCATTTGGGCTGTTCCAAAGACAGTGACCTGATTATTAACCACACATTTGAACAGGGGGGAGGTGTATTCACTTCAGGTGGCCTACAATTCTCACCATATTCTAAGAGCTTGAAAATGACAGGAACTTATTTTACCCAAAAAGAAATATAACTGTAAAAAATAAATATATTTCCAGGACTACAGGCACCACCACAGAAAATTTAATAAAACATAAATACATACATGAAAGTGAATTACACTGATAAAAGTTGAAATAAAACCCAGCAAATAGAAATATTTCCATGTCACAGCCTTCTGAAAACCCATGGATTACTTTCCACTAAAGTTTTACCAGTATTGCAATATTTATAAAAACTCCTTGAACAGTGTTCCACAAATATAGTGAAAAATTCATGTGTTATTGCCCATCACTAATTCATATCCCCTTGTCTTTCTCATATAGGATGAATTTTTAAGGCCTTTCTTTGAACAAAACAAAACAGAATTTTTTAAAAAGACAACAAAAACTATAAACCTGAGTTTGACTAGAGAACCTTATCACAAGATATAATACTGTCGTCCAGTTGCACACTTGTCATCATTTTATCTCCCTGATTAAGATTCCTGCTCTTCCACAAAGTAAAATTAAGAATTGTGAAGTAAAGGTAACACACCAATAACCCAGAAATCTTCTCACACTCCCATGCCTGGCTTGATCCAAGATCTTCTTATTTTGTTGGTTTACTGAATTGGCAGATAACCTTCTCAGGCAACCAAAGAAGACAAAAATCTGTGTGGAACACTCTTACAAAATGTCAACAACCGTCGTTGTGTTGGCAAATGCATCCCAGAGGCACAGAGGACCCTAAAAGAGTCATTACAGAGTAAACAAGGTATTAATGAATAATGGAAAGCCTGAACAAAGAGTGTGGGCAATTACAGCCCAGATGCGGCACAGGGGAGAACAAAGCAAACACTGAACACCGAATTTACCACGGCACTTCCCAGCAAAGAGCAATTTCTCCTCTATTGAAAAGCAAGAGCCCTCAGCAAGGAAAAAAATAAAACATAAAAAAAAATAAAATGAAAAAAAACAGAATTGAGGAACTCCATAGCTGAAATTGTCAGCTGAACCCAAGTGTTCAGGACAACACTGCTTCAGAGCCAAGGTTTTCTGGGGATGATGAACAGTCCTGGGGAAACATCATCACCTCAGCTGCAGGAGCTGTCCTTAAAATTCTGTTTAGTGGGAGTGTTCCTTGGTTTAAGCTTCAATGAGTCCTCTAAAAGGCCTGCACTGTTCTTTCCACAGGTACAGCCAAATGACAAGAGGACCTGGAGAAAAAAAACCCGGATCTCAGAAGTTACAGAACCTCAATTCAGTTGAGATAAACAGCAACAAAATATTTTCTTTTTTTTTTTTCTTTTTTCTTTTTTCTTTTTTCTTTTTTCCACACCATTTATGCTCAACTCTTCCTCAAGAGGTTTCCAGAGCTTCCTGCTCTAAGGCAGAATGGAGCACTACCCAAATAGCCTCCTTTGTAAATAATCAATATCACTGCTTTGAGCCTTTGCAAGAACACTACACTCCAGGTTAAACAAATATTTTAAAAAACATGAGGAAAAATAAATTGAAAGTACAAAGCTTGACGGATAACACTGTTTCCCATTTCTACATGACTCCAGTCAAACATTCTAAAAGAGAATGCTTGCCAAGTTCAGCAGCAAAATACTGATTAAGGGCATGAAGAAAGTAAGAAACAAAATTACCTGGGAAAAACTGCCCTTTACCCTAAATCTAACATGTACAGATCAAAAGGGTGTCTACTAAATTCCATCTCCATCCCCCTTTATAGCACACAGAATTATCCTTTGTCTTTTATTTCAGTCAATTACGTTGTTATCTGATAGTCTCAAGTCTCACTAATAATTTGCATATGGCATATTTAAGTATTTTAATTAAACTTATAATCATAATAGCCAGTAAACTATCATTACAAACTGTCCCCTTACACAGAGCCCTCCACTCCATTTTGCCTCTTTGCACAATAAACTAAACACTACAGAAATTAAAGGAATTTACAAGAAATTTAATTTCTTGTAAATTCTCTGCACTCTGTGATGGGACCACCAACATCCTGCTGTCAACCCACTTCTCCCAAATTCCCCCAGAACATTCCCCAATATTGTGTCAAGATCTCAAGTGGCTTTGACTGGATTCTTCTCACACTTTAAAAACACCCAGTCTAGAGTACAGCTATCCTTTTAATTTCTGAATAACCATTCACAAGAAGCAATTAAATATTCACAGATATAAAGGAAAAATGTTTGAATGTTTAAGTGGTAACAATTTGTAATTAATTTATCTAGTATTTTTGAGCAATTGTGCCACTGGCTTCTTTCGACTTCATTCAGAATTGGCAATTTTACTTGAAACCAGAGAATTTTATATCAAGTAACTTGATGTACATAACGAGTAACAGAGGAATTACACAGCCCATGTGAACCTGTTTGGGTTAAGTACCAATAAAAATGCTTTAGGCAGCAAGGAAACCTTGAAGTTGGAGCTTACCGAGTCTGAGATTACTCAAGAGGACACACTGTTAAAGCAGGACCCAAAGGGCAGTTTCTTTGATCAGGTAAAATAGGCAGTGAAGAGAACCTTGGAAAACAACTTGGTTTCCTTTTCAGTGTAGAATGAGGCCCTGATAGCTGCTGACATCAAGCAGATTAGCTCATTCTGTACACAAGGAAAAAAAATACACTTTTCCTGAGAGTCTGTAGCAGCATAACGTACATGAAAGATGATAATTATGTATATATTTAAGGTAAGATCACCCTTTTAGTAAAGCATTAAAGAACCGGATTTCTTGGTAAGACTGCAAGCTGCCTTTTAATGGCTTGGATTTCTTTGTGCTCATCTTTTTTTTTTCTTAAGTACAAGCTGATTAAATGGAAAATCAAGTATAACACACCACTGGCTGCTTCTAAATCCGTGTTCAGCTCCCATCAAATGGCAGAGCAAGCTCTGACTCCTTGAAGATTTTTGAAATGGTATCACTAGTCTTTGATATGTCAGTTTTTGTTAAAAAATTATTTTTGTTACCTATAGTCACCACTTTGACTTAGATCTGGAAGGTAGAGGACATAAACCATTGATACATGAAAAGCATGCACTTCATGGAAAAGATTTTGTGGAGTCTTATTTTGTTCACTAACAGAGTTCAAAACAACAAGATATGTCTCAAATGATAAGAATATCAGAAAGACATCACAAAATGTGCTATATTATTCTTAATTTTACAGGATATAAATATAATTAACTAGACAGAAGAAACTTGGTCTGATCTGCATGATCAAAAACCTGTTGTTTCACCACTGAAATTTCTACTGCTGGCTCAGCACATTGAAACATATTTACTTCTACCCCAGAAGCAGTGAATTTGCTGATTTGCTATAGGTAAAACCCTAAAATATCAGTCTGGGTTTCTTCTTGTCATCTCACATTTTATTTTTCTGTAGGTTTCAGTAACCATGAGATGTTCATTGGTTTTTTTTTTTTCATCCT